AAATATAGTCCAGTGCCGCGTTAAGCCAAATATACTAAAATTAAAGTCCTCTGCAATGTGCTTGTGTGTGTGAGTGTGTGAATATGCATAAAACAGAATAATATCCCATTGTCAATACATCGGGGCTACGTCTACACTGTCATGATTTTCCGGAAATGCTTTTAACAGAAAAGTTTTCCGTTAAAAGCATTTTCGGAAAAGCGCATCTAGATTGGCAGGGCAACGCCTTTTTTCAAAAGTGCTCTTTCAAAAAAAGGCGCTATGTAATGCAAACTGTGCTTTTTTGAAGAGAACATCCAGACTGCCTGGGTGCTCTCTTTCGAAAAAGCGGCTTGCTTTTTCAAAAGTACTGGTTGTAGTCTAGATGCTCTTTTTCGAAAGAGGCTTTTTCAAAAGTGTCTTTCGAAAACGTCTCTTTCAAAAGAGACTTGCAGTCTAGATGTAGCCCTTGATTTCCAGGAAGCCTTTGACAAGTTCCTCTGCCATGGGTGCTTATGTAAGTCATGGGATGAGAAGAAATGTCCTCCCGTCAATTGATAATGGTTAGAAGACAGGAAAAATTGGTCAGAACAAAGGGTCAGTTTTCAGAATGGAGAGAGGTGAATTGTGGTTTCCTCCAAGAGTCCATATTGGGATGAATCCTATTCAACATATTTATAAATGATCTGGAAAAAGGGGTAAGCAGAGAGGTAGCAACATTTGCACATGATACTAAACTGCAGAAGTGAGACAGAGCTGGCGCACGACCTGACCGGCTGTTCCAATGGGGCCAAGCAACAGCAGGGCTGCAGGACCAGAGTCAGGACACTGGATACCGGCCCTGCGGGAAGTAACATGGCAGTCGAGGACAATGAGCAGCTGGCGAGAGCAAGGTGGGGCCCTGGGCAGAGGGCCCAGCTCAGGGAGACGTCACCAGACAACAGGGCCTTGGGGGCTGGACTCAGAAGGGGGACGTGAATCTAACGGAAGGACACTACAGAAGTTGGCCCTGCCACCTAGATTCTGAGGTTGTGTGGCACTTCCATCACTGCTGAGGCCTAATGGGAGGCCTGGGATGTGTGTAGAACAAGTTGTGAATCGTCCTCACACCCCACAGGCTGCTGTTGGTGACATTCCAATTCCCATGGAGCAGAATCCCTTGTTTCCTTGAATCTGTCCTACATATTCCTTATGTTTCTCGCCGTTTCTGTTGAATAAATTGCATGTGGTATGATCATAATGAGTGATCAGTGGGGTCACGGAAATTCTGGTGCCAAGAGACCATCCAGAGGGGGGACACCCTAGCCCCTGTCCTTAGGGAGCACAAAGAAAAGGGGGGTCAGACCCAGGGCCAGCCTGTGAAGTGGGCTGTCTGGGTGATGCCCAGGGAAAAAGAACTGAAGAGAATTCAGTTTGATAGCTCCCATGGAACCTACTGGCTGCCTAGAACATGCTCAGCAGAGGGCACATGATACAGAAAGATGCACTTACCCATAGAGTAAAACCTCAGAGTTGTGAACACCAGAGCTACGAAAGGACCAGCCAACCTCATGTCTCATTTGGCAATGGGAATACACAAACGGAAGCCAAAACAGCCCAGTGCAATGTTAGGCCTAAGTTACTAAAATTAAAGTCCTCTACAAAGTCCTCTACCAAGTGCTAGTGTGTGTGTGTGAATAAGCATAAAACAGAATAATGTTCCATTGTCAATACATGAGGTTTTTTGCTCGTCCTCCAAAAGAAGATCCATTGAAATTCTTCCAAGTATAACAATACCAAGGACTCGGCACAAGGACACACTGACTGTGTAAACACACCCTAGCTGGCCAGCACAGGAACCCCCCAACCTCACATCAGAATTCACTGCAGAGTGAATGTAGCCGTCCCATGGTACTAGGGCTTTTGCAGAACTGTACAACCCATGTCTGCGGAGCAGTATGAGCAGCCAGACACGTATCCACGTTCAACATGACAAAGGGACACTGCTGAGGACATTTGGTGCCAGAATCCTGGGAGCAGAAAGCCTTTTCCACGCCCCTTGGCTTCCATCACTCCAGGACCATGTCACTGAGCCTCCGTAAGGTGGCGGTGACTTTTCGGAGGCCAGTGGACTTGATACAACTGCATGGGCCGCATGCAGCAGTGGGCTGCTACAATCCACTGAACTGATTTTTGGTTCTGTATTTTGTGGCAGCCTCCCCACCAGTAGCACCGACTGCAGGGCAGTGCCCACAGAACAGCCAGCCAGGCTGAGCATTGGGAAGGGCCTGTTTGCCCTGAAAAGCTGAACCCCTGATAGCATCCAATTGCTTCACTCATGAGGGAGGCTCTCAAGCTATAGGTCTCCAGGGTTTAATTTCTGTTCATCCAACCTCTCACAGAGCTGAGGGAATTCTCTGGGAATCCCAGCCCACATGGGAGCCCACTGGGACTGAACAGGGGAATCATAAAGGCGATGGCTTGGCTCGCCGAGTGTCAGACATTTGAGCGTCACACGCTGAGTCTCTTATCTCTGCCTCACTGCCGCAGGGAGGAGATTTGCTCTGTCTGCGGAGGGGACTGTGGTGAGTTGTGTGTTCCTGCATTAAGGCTTAGTGATAATGGCTGAGGAAGGGTTCCAGGGTTGAAATCTAGACCCATTTGGGCAGGAATACACCAGCCCGGTGACTTCCACTGAAAATGGTGCCAGGGTTGAAATCTAGACCCATCTGGGCAGGAATACACCAGCCCGGTGACTTCAACTCTTCAGTTTCTTTTCAGATGTGTTAAGAATTTACGAGGATAAATTGGTACTATTGATATATGGGAAGAAGTTGAGATAATTATTTGTCTTTAGAATCCATCCCCTGTTTCTTACTGTGTCTTTCTATCTGTCTCAGTAGAGTTTTCTGCAGTGTGGTTTTTGAATTCCTCAACTTCACTGCATGTTTGATTGAGCAGCCAAAGGCTCTGTAGTGGGGGTCTGTGTTACAAGGGAGGTTACAACAAACATGGGTTGCACACTGGCCACAATCTGCTCTAACACTCTGCCCTCAGTGCATCGCTCCAGTTTGAGACTGGCTTCCCTGATCATAGCGGGATTGTTCATGGGAACAACTGGTTACGTTGTGGTCCATGTCACATCACAGTCTGAGATAGCGTCTGATTTCATTGTGCCTCTTTGGTCTGTGCATGAGGCTGGCTGCCCATTCCCTAGTCACTTGGTTACAGGACTCTGCCGCTGTGATCTGGATACTTTGTGACTGTCCCTGCTCTCCCACACACACTGTGCATTCCTTTGAGGTAGCCGGAAACCCCTGGTTTCCCCAAAGTGTGACTCAGAATCATGATTTTCTTTTTGCTGCTTTTTGTTCTCTTGAGACCAGAGATGCAGGGACACAGCGAGAGCAGACACCTCTGCCTCCCTGAACCCAAGTGTTATCCCGATTGTGCTCAATCTTTCAATCTGTGAGTGTGAGATTTCAGCAGTTCTCCTCTTAGTCCTCCTTAGATTCAAATAAGCTCACCCACCTTGCAAGGGCACTGGATGACTCCATCTGAAAAAACTAAAGGCTTGTGATCCCTTCAATTCAGACCGGCTACATCTAGACTGGCATGATTATCCGGAAATGCTTTTAACGGAAAAGTTTTCTGTTAAAAGCATTTTTGGAAAAGAGCATCTAGATTGGCACAGACGCTTTTCCACAAAAGCACTTTTTGCGGAAAAGCGTCCGTGCCAATCTAGACGCGCTTTTGCGCAAAAAACCCCGATCGCCATTTTAGCCATCGGGGCTTTTTTGTGCAAAACAGTACTGTGCTCTCTACACTGCCCCTCTTGCGCAAATGATTTGCGCATGAGATCGTCAGTGTTCTTGCGGAAATTCAAGTGGCCAGTGTAGACAGCTGGCAAGTTTTTCCGCAAAAGAAGATGATTTTGTGGAAAAACTTGCCAGTCTAGACACAGCCAAGATGTACTCAAGTTCCTATATGTGGATGTAGAGTAATTTGAAGGAATCCCAGAGTTCCAGAGTAGGTCCCACTTGCTCCACTTAGGAAGGAACAATCAGTTTCACACATACAGAATGGGAAGTGATTGTCTAGGAAGGAGTACTACTGCAAAGGGTTGAGGGGTCATAGTGGAACACAAGTCAAACATGAGTCAACAGTGTGACACAAAAAAAGCAATCATGGTTCTCAGATTAACAAGAGTATTGTTAGCAGAACACAAGAAGTCGTTCTTCTGCTCTATTCTGCTCTGATTAGGCCTCCATTGGAGAATTGTGTCCAGTTTTGGGTACTACATTTCAAGAAAGGGGTGGAGAAACTGGAGAAGGTCCAGAGAAGGGCACTGCTTCCTCACGGCAACGTGAGGAAATGTCAACACTGAAAAACCACCTCAGGAACGTCGGAGTTTCCAGGGGGCTGCAATAAAGTTGGGGACTATCCATGATGGAATTCCAAGACCAGAAGTGACCATGGCAATTTTCAGTTCTGACCTCCTATGAGGACAATTTTCACAGTAATATTCCCAGAGTTGATCTTTTAGAGATAAAAACACCAAACCTTTACTACTTTGGTCTAAATAATAATTTGCCTTAAGCAAAAGTGGCCACATTACTACTCACTTTTCTAAGCTAGTAATACCTATGATATTGGTATTTCCTGTGATATTGGACCCCGGTTCACTGTGATTGTATGTTTTCACAGGCGCCCTGTGCATTCCTCTCCCGGTTCACTGTGATTGTGTGTTTTCACAGGCGCCCTGTGCATTTCTCAACCGTGTTTTCTCATCCACCACCTCATGGCAGCTTTCAACCTCAGCCCCTCTGACACGTCAACAGTGTTCTCTCATCCACCACCTCATGGCAGCTTTCAACCTCAGCCCCTCTGACACGTCAACATTCATCCTAACAGGCATCCCTGGCTTGGAAGATGCTCACGTCTGGATTTCCATCCCTTTTGCTACTTGCTACATTTTCTGTCTGTTGGGCAATGTCTCCGTTCTTTTTGTGGTAAGCACAGAGCAAACCCTGCACCAACCGATGTACCTGCTGCTCTGCATGCTGGCAGTCACAGACATCACCATCTCTACCACTGTTGTGCCAAAGGCCCTGGGTATATTTTGGTTCAATTTGAAAGGCATCACAGTCAGTGGCTGCCTCACCCAAATTACCTTCCTCAGCACGGCTTTTGCAATGCACTCAGCTGTGCTTGTGGCCATGAGCTTTGATCGCTATGTGGCCATATGTAGCCCTTTGAGATATGTTACCATCCTCACCCACACACGGATAGCTACGATAGGACTGGTCAGTTTAATAAGAGGGATTCTCTTTGTGCTGCCCTTGCCCCTGATGCTCAGCCAACTGACGTTCTGTGGCAAACATATCATCCCTCATACAATCTGTGAGGGTATTGCTGTGGCAAAAATTTTATGTGGGGACCTCGCATTCTTCAGGCTCTATGGCTTGGTGATGACACTTACTCTTGCTGCATTAGACCTGACGCTCATCGCCCTGTCCTACTGTCTGATCATCAGGGCTGTTCTAAGAATCTCCTCCCAGAAAGCCCACCAGAAAGCCCTCAACACGTGCACTGCCCACATCGGTGTGATGCTGACCTCTTATACTCCCTTCCTTTTCTCCATTGTGACAAATCGGTTTGGTGAGATCATTCCTCCTCACGTTCAAATCTTCTTGGCCAACATCTATGTCCTGGTCCCCACCATGCTCAACCCAATTGTTTACGGAGTCAAAACCAAAGAGCTTCGTGTCAAAATGATGAAAAACATCCGAGTTGAAAGTAACGCTCTTAATTCGAATTAGACTGACATATGAAGAGAAATTAAAAAGACCAGGACTTTTCATTTTAGAAAGAGGGGATATAATAAAATCTATAAAATCTATAAAGTCTATAAAATCATGGCAGGTCTGGAGAAAGTGAATAAGGAAAAGTTATTTCCTTGCTCCCATAACGCAAGAACTAAGGGACAGCAAATGAACGTAAGAAAAAGGTTCCCCGCTTGCTTGTCTAAGTCGATGAGGGACAGCAAAGCAGTCCTGTCATGGAGTGCCCCGAGTGCCCACACTCCGCACATCACAGCACTCGGCCATCGGCCCGGCTGCACTTCCCACAGGCTGCCCTGCGGGGGGGG